GTATTATTAATTAATTAATTAATTAATATAATTTTAATACAATAATAAATGAGTATAATCATATTTATAATTGAAGATATCCTCAGAGTTAATATAATTATAAAATATTATTTTTAAAATTATTAATTTAATTAATAACAATTAATTAATACTTTTTTTTTTTTTGAAAATAACAATTAATTAATACTTAATAAAACACAATTGATATCTATTTTCAAGAAGGGATAATGTTTAAAGAAAAAGACTAAACTTTTAGTAAACCTGAATAGATCCCCTATAACCAGCTTCCCCAGTCTTGTCAAGATTGGACCAGAAAGGAAAACAAGTAGTCTTGTCAAGATGCCAAAGTATTGCTGCTTTTTTCCTTCTTCCGTGAGCTCCACTTTTTATCTATATCCAATGCACATGCCAAAATAAAATCATGTGAATCACATCATCCATATCAAATCAAGTCAGATCTTAAACCGTCTTAATTAAAAAAATAAAACAATTAAATTTAAACGGAAAAGATACTATTATTTATTAATTGAGGTGATTAAATTAAATAATAATATTATAATTATTATAATTTTATTTATATTAAATAAAATATAAATATTATAAATAAAAATTTAAAGAAAAAATAATTATATAATATTATATTATTTTATAAATTTATAATATTATATAATATTATACTTATAATATTTTTATAAACTAAATTAGTCAAATAATACTTTACTTTCGGTAAAAGAAAAAACATGAAAAATTTACTATTTCTTTTGAGTTTATTTTTTATAATTTTAATTTAATTTTTTAAGTTTTTAAATTAAAATTTTAAATAATAACTAAAAATATTTGACAAAATTTTATATAAAATTTTTTTATTTATTATCAATATAAATTATTAAATTTATATTTAAAATTTTAAAAATTAAATTAAAATTAATATTAAAAATAAATGAAGGGAATAATAGAGTAATACACCTTTAAATTTAACTGTAATTACCAAGCTGTGAGAAAAGTACACTGACGTGATAAAGATAAACGTAGATAATAGTTAGACCCTCACATGGTGTAAATAGGAGCTGTACTTTCTGCAGATTTGACGCTCTCTCACATACTTTTACATCTTGATGTTGACTCTACCATTACTTCCAGCTTCAAGCCTAATCCCCCACCGCCATCAGCTCCACTGGACCGTCGTCTCAATGGAAAGGGCCGTTCATTAGGGTATATTTTGGGACTAAAATGTGTTTAATTGAGCTAGTTTATTAATTTTAAAAAAAATTTATTAGAAAATAAAAATGTACTTTTTAATTTGAATTATATAAAAATTTATAACATAAATTATGAATTTATTAAAATATTTTTAATATGACTCTTTTTTATATTAACTTATTGAGAGTTTTTTAGAAATTGTAATGCTTATATTACATTTTTAATGTAAAGTTTATGTTTTTTTTTATTTTAAGAAATTTGCAAGGGGCGGATAGGTTATGTTTTTTTGTTTGTTAGAAAAAGACGAAATACCATTGACTTAAAAACAAGAGTACATCAGCAAATTCTGGGGGTTCAACCCCAACAGTATCAGCTATGCAAGCACACTTGACAGGTTGGGGAATACAATAAAAAATAACAAAATCTTTCACACTATATTATGCCCCATTTTAGCCAAAATATCTGCTTCCATGTTTGACTCGAAGCATCACATGAGAGAGCTTCACATGGGGATAAACTGAAGGAGGTCCCTACAGTCAAATAAAAGGGAACCTAACGGGTGATTTTAAGTAGGATCCTTAGGAAGCAATTGAAATGCAACATCAATCATGTTTTAATTTAAGTGGAAAGAATTCAATTTCCTTTAAATAAAATCTCAAATTTAAGTCTAGAAAAACAAGTGTTGAGAAAATTTTCTCTTAATAGTATCTGACATGGTTTAATTTCAAATTAATTGAAATTTAATATGATTGCCATATACTGGAGGTTAATACCAAAAAACTAAAACACAACATGAGAGTCGGTTTCAATTAGCAAATGTGAAAAATTATTAGCAACCGCTAGTTGAAGCCCATCTTTGATTGCCCATAATTCAACAACCAAGATTGAGGACCAACCAATTTTTCTAGTATAGCCCAAAACCCAATTACCCTAAGAGTCTCTAAATAATCCTCCCACAACTAGTCTCCCTAGATTTTCTAGAGGAGAACAATCGGTGTTAACTTTAAGGAAGTTAGGTGGGCGTTTCATCCATTTATATAGGTGAGTGGCACATTGCTTAATCCCAAAGGGCCTAATGCTCCAATATTCAACTACTCTCTCAATAATAAGTTTAGAAGCAGTCAAGATTAGGGTGTGTAGCATGAAAATTTTGGTTTCTATGAAGCTAGATACCCCAAATTGCAAAGCAAAACACAACATTCCAAGGGAGGTACAATTGATGTGACCTCTTCAAGCATTGAATGTTAAACTGCAACCATTCCACAAAATTTAGATTTTGTCGCTGAAGTGTTGAAATACCAGGTACAAGTAAAATAAGAGTCGAAATGGGGCAAAGCCTCAATAGATGCTCAACTTTTTCATTGTTAGCATGACATTGGAGGCAAGAAGCAGAATTACTAATCTCCAACCTGTTAGGGAAATCTAAACATTTGAGTTGTTGATGGGAAAGTAGCCCTATGAAGTGTAGGGATGGTAATAGGGCTCAAGGAGTCCGTCCTCGTCCCCATCCCTGTCCCCGTAAGGATTTTTTACCAGGGCAGATTTTACCCCCCATTCCCCACCAAGATCCCAATTCCCCCATCCTAGCAATCCAACAGTAGCTCTAAACCAGCAATATTTCCAGACCAGCAGTAATGTGTGCCACTCCGACAGCAGCTCCAACAACAGTAGCTTTAGCAGTAATAGTTTCGGCAACAGCTCTAGCAACAACAACTCTAGTAACAGCAATTTTGGTAGAGCAGCTCTGACAGTAGCTCCAACAGTAACAGCTCTGGTAGTAGTACTCCAGACCTACAATATGTTGGGTGAAAATGAGGGTAGAAGGGTGAGAAGGCTAGAAGGGCGATAATGGAGGGATTTTGGGTTTGAAGAGTGTTAACGACATAAGGGGATGGGAAGCTGAGAGTGTTGAGAAATGAGTAAAGTTAGGGTTAAATGATTAATAACGGATTAGGTTAGTTTTGTTGGGTTGGGTTGGGTTGGGTTGCATTGCATTGCATAAAATTGGATTAAGTTTAATTTTTATTGGATTGGGTTTGGGTTTGGAGGTTAAATTAAATTTAAAATAATATAAATTTATATATTTTTTTAATTTTTTTGCGGAGATAGGGATCCCTCTAGGGTCTAGTGGGGCAAGGCAAATTCCTTGCAAAATTTTGCAAGGAGAAAATACCCCCCATCCCCACCTCACGGAGAATATTGGGGCAAATTGCCATCCCTAATGAAGTGTTGGATATTAAGAGGTGTACGAGCTTTCCAAATCCAATTCCAATTGGAATTCTCTAATGAAGCATAGTCTTTAAGGGATTGATAGGCTAATGTAAATGAAAACTCACCATTAGGAACATTGTTCCATGCAAAACCATCTGCCCTCAGGGATGATAAAGAAATAGGTGTAGCTTGGATATTTGAAAGGATGTTCAAGGGGGGGTCATATCTAATCAACTTGGGAGCATTCTCAGTCACCAGTATATACTTTGCAATAGTTAGGGGTGGCAATTTCCTTCGATTCCCGTGGAGCCTCGCGGGGATCCTCGTCACGGGGACGGGGCGAGGAGGAATATTCCTCCCCGTGGAGCGAGGATGAGGGGCATTTTCTCCCCGTGAAATATCCCGCAAAAAATTTAAAAAATATATTTTAAATTTAATTTAATATTTAAAATAAAACCCAAACCCAAACCCAAACCCAATTCAATAAAAATTAAATTTTATCCAACCCAACCCAACCGGCCAACCCATCCGGCCAACCCAACATCCTCTTTACAAGTTCGAACCCTAATTAATCCCCCTTCTAACCTTAATTTCATAACCTTATTCATTTCCCCTCCCTTTCTCCTCACTCACGCATGCAGCCATAGCCCCTCACTCACTCTTGGTCTTGGTCGGACAATCAAGCTCTCAAGTCTCACCTCACGTTCAACCTTCCTCTCCCATTCTTGCTGCTACAGATCTATTACAGATCTGCTGTTGGAGCTGCTACAAATATGCTGTTGGAGCTGTTACAGATCTGCTCCTAGAGCTGTTACAGATCTGCTCCTAGAGCTGTTGTCAAAGCTATTAGTTACAGCATGTAGATCTGCTAGAGTTCATCTTGCTAACTGCTGAACTCTGTCTTTGCTCTGCTCTACTTGCTGCCTGTGCTGAACCCCCTCTTTGTTTGCTGCTTGTGCCAGATTCCCTCTTTGCTTGCTGCCTGTGCCGGGCTCCATCTCTGCTTGTTGCACTGTGCCAGGCTCCCTTTCTGCTTACTGCACTGTGCCGAACTCCCTCTCTGCCTGCTGCGTGTGTCGGACTCCCTCTCTCCTTGCTGCACTATGCCAGACTTCCTCTCTGCTTGCTTGCTGCCTATGCCGGGCTCCCTCTCTGCTTGCTGCACTGTGCCGAACTCCCTTTCTGCTTGTTGTCCTGTGTCGAACTCCTTCTCTGCTTGCTACCCTATGCCGGACTCCCTCTCTGCTTGCTGCCCTGTGTCGAACTGCCTCTCTATCATCAAAGGCTGTACAGATTGGTCTAATTAAAATAATTTCCATTTTCCAGAAGATTTGAGCGACTGCCTTCTTAGTATCTTCCCAGGCTTTCAGCGTAGCTTGCTCAGATTCTTCGATCTGGGCCTGCTGCTCCTTGGTGTCTTTCAAGCTCTAAAGCTCGGCATCCAACGGTAAAAAGTTTAATAATTTGATTATGGTTGAATTAATATAGAGAAAGTTTGGATTTTCTAGAATTTACTAAATTTAATGACTACTTATAGCCGTTTACATTAGTGAATTGCCTAGTTAATTTTTTTACATATAGTCACATACTGATATACATACAATATAGAAAAGCTTAAAGTTTATTTTATAATGATTTATTTGGTATGAAAATTTATTTTATATTTCAATGGAAAGGCATAATTGTTTTTTTAAATTTATTTTTAGGTGATAAATGTCTAACACACAAGAGCAGAGTGGTAATTCAAATTCCTAATGAATCAAGTGGTAATTTTATGGCAAGCCTAGGTCCTCTGACAACACCAACACCAACTTCATCTTTTGCTATGCCTCCTATTGTAATAGAAGAAGAAGAAGGTGTTAATGAAAATGAGAAGGTTGGCCATAAACGAGCATTGACTTCTAAGGCATGGGAGTCTTTTAAGAGACAAAAAGTTAATGGCACATGGAAAGCAATATGCATCTATTGTAGCAAAATGCTTGGTGGTGAAACTAAGAATGGAACAAAACATTTGCACGATCACTTAAAGGCTTGCCCATTGAAATGTACTACTGATATAAGGTAAACTTTTTTGAAGGCTTCAAGGAATAGTGAAGGGAAATCAGAACTCACTACTGTTGTTTTTACTAATGAGAATGCAACAAAGGAACTTGCTTGCATGATTGCTTTACATGAGTATCCTTTATCAATTATGGAGCATATTGGATTTAGAAGGTTCATTGCTACCCTTCAACCAAGATTCAAGATGATTTCAAGAAATACAATCAAGAAGGATATTATCAACAAGAAAAATCCAGAAAAATAAAGTTGTTGAAGGAAAATCAAAATAGAATTGCCATCACAACTGACATGTGGACTTCTAATAAAAAGAGAGGTTATATGGTCGTCACAGCACATTACCTTGATGGTTCATGGGCTTTGCAAAGTCGAATTATAAAGTAATATTTTAATTATTAAGTATTTTATATGTTTAATTATTATTTTTTAGAATTATTATTTAAATTATTGTTCTAATTAATTTTAA